AATTCCCTGTCGGGATTTGAACCCACAGCGGTGAGGGGCAAGTGGTTTGAAGTCAACGAGCTTAACCACTCGGCCACGGACAAACCGCAAAGGTGTAATGAAAAGGCATATGAGAATACATGCCGGTGAAAGGAAATAGTAATGTAAAATATGTGACTTGACGTTCACAAAACAACGTATAGGGGTGAGCAAAGGTATACACTTAAAATATGCAACAAGTCATTTGCTAATCTTAAAAAACATATAAGAATACACACTGGTGAAAAGAATTATACTTGTGAATTGTGCGAGAAACTATCTTCTCGAAAAGACAAACGACTGAAAATGAGTTAAACAATATATTCACGCAAGTTATCTTGTAAGACGTTTCAAAACATATATGTTTCTCTTAAGCATTTTTGACAAGACACACAAGAATAAAGTGCTTTGCTGTAGGATACATGGTGATATTTTATATCTAAAGTATTTTCGCTTAGAATTATTCTTACCTACCAGGCTGTCATCTCTTTCAGTTTATTTCATACTCGAAATATAGTTAAACTTTGCACTGGGGTGCTTGCTCCAAATTGACTTCATACAAGCGCATTTATGAATAAAACTGCATTATTTAAATAAAGTCATTTTTTGCCGTTGCTAATGAAGATGTAAATCAAAAAAGCTACACAAAGAAAAGAGTATCAGATTTTCGACACTACATGTAATATACATGAAAATATAATTGAGGTGAAACAATTAAAATATGCTAGAATAAGCAAGACCGATATCTGGCATGTGTGTGCAGTTAATATCAGAATGTTTGGGTTTGGTGTAGGCATCAGCCGGGCAGGTACACTCGGTTCTGATATTCCAGTCTCAACTACAACATATGAAAGACATGAAAATACAAAAAACGAAAACCAGTAATACCGGTATATATGAACAAGTCATTCAAAATACAGTTAAAGCCGGGAAGTCCCAAATCGTGAAAATATTTCAATCTTATTTTCTACAAAACTTCTAAACACACGAATGCTATATGCGAGAACGCTTGCATTGAGGTGTACATGAAAATTACTGTCAAATACCACCAAATGTTGGACTTCATCCTTGCAAAACATTTTACATGTACACAAAATAATGTTAAATGTCTACACTCTGTATGCATTGTATTTAAACAATACGTATTAATAAGTAGTATGTTAAAATGAATTATATACCCAAAGAATAAGCGCACACTTTGAACACTTTACAAATTGTACTTATCACCAAAAAATTGGCATTGAATTTGAATTAAAAAGAGTTCCTCCCGATGAGGTATACAGATAGATTCTAACTATATGCACTATTTCTTGCGTAACTTTATTGTACTTCCGTTTTGTGTGCAACAAGTGGCAAATAACTGTGCTTTTGAGTCTTATTACCCATAATCTTGCAGTACTTCCGGCAAAGTTTTCATATTCACCACTTTTAAAATAATCGCATTACTGTAAAGTTTGTCCTGCTTTTCAAGCTCACTAATAAGTATTTTTATGTTCCTAATTCCACATGTTCCAGAAACATAATAGCGACCTCGAAGAGCTAGTTGGCCCGAAGGGCCCATTTACAATGCAAGCATTACGGTAACACAAGTATCTCCAAATGATTGTTTTGGAAATTTTTGCTGGAAGAACATTAAAATAATAAGTAATATGTTTGCTTGCTCTTCATCAGAAGTTATTTTGGTTCCCTGTCCTATTATATCTGGAGCGCACCAGGAATCAGTACAAAATTTATATGTTACTTTATAATTTATCGAAGCATACCTGGAAACAGTTGTTCTGGTTTCCTGTCTTCTTATGGTTCCCTTTCAAATTTACATTCGGAAAACTTTGCCGATTACCATCAATCCTGATGTCAAGATTCGCGAAAGTAGATTTCCCGAAATGAGACTCTTAGCGCGTTCGAGATCGTGCTATAAAATAATCAGTCAAATTTTAAATATTTTATAAAAAAAAAAGATAAAATATTGAAAATTTTGACTGATTCAAGTAGCGTATCGGCAGCTGAACTGCTGGCTACACATTATGATTATAATACTTTGAACTGCACACTTTCGGCCACACAATTCACTCAACACTAACACACACTCTTTTCTACTTTCGAGATACGGCCATTTCATGTTTTATATGATTTATTGATTTAAAAAACCATCAGTGAGCATAAATTCACTTAAAATCAAATTTCGTGATTAATTATGCCAATTCGGGAAAAGGCTATATAGTGAAACGGGAACCTGACGGAAATAGATATCGACTCGGTATCTATTGCTATTTATTCTGTATTTTATAAAAAAAAAGTTGTGTATAAAGGTAATTATTTTGATTGAAATTTTATCAAAAGTTGTACTTTATACTTGAATCAGTGATATTTTTTTGTATTTTTTGATGATTTATTCATCAAAGATCTTCAACGCGCTAAGAGTTTCATTTCGGGAAAAGTACTTTCGCGAAACTTCTTATTAGGATTAATTGTAATTGGCAAGGGGTTTTATTCCGTATGTCATTTTGAACGGGAACCATAATGAGAAAGGAAACAAGAAAAACTGTCTCAGGTTACCTGGTGGTACTGATTCCTGGCAGGCTCTAAATATAATAATTGGACAGGGAACCAAAATAACCTTCGATGGAGAGCGCGCACCTGCAAAATGCTTTTCTACAAAATACTCCCAATCGCACTCCAAAACAAAATTTATCCTGTTTTCGGGCTTAAGTCAGACAGTTAATCTTAAGATATGCAGTCATGCTATTTATTTCAAGGAATTTATGTATTTAAAAAAAGTTACTGTGTTATACAAGTTACGAAATAGAATTTCTTTTCTATTCATTTTCTGCCATTTTTACTAATGTATAGTCAGATTTTTAACCGCAGGCTGTTTAACATTCTATGGTAAAGACTCTATAGTGACTTTTCATCACAATGTTTATATAATCGATGTATTTTATTCCCTAGCTGGCGGCATATTTCAAGTTCATCATTTTATCACTATACAATCACAATTATCGCATCATTGCTACAATTCTGATTACATTGTATACAAGAAAAGCATTGATGCAAAGCATCAAAGGGCGTCCAAGCAAGAAATGCAGCAAGTGAAGATGAACTAGTACACATATGATGACAAGATATTCTTATAAACTACCAGAAATGTATACCACTTATGAATGAGCGGACGAAAGACATTGTTCATTATGAACTTTGATTGGCATGCTAGAGATTAGAATATTACTTGTTATTTCTTTATGATCGTGGTTATTAATAGCAACGGATATACATGTATGCAATCATTTATAATCCATATGTGTAACGCATGATCAACACGTACCACACATTTGTCCCTTATTATGTACATGTTATCGCTATTAGCGAAGACCCCCTTTAGGTATCTGTTCACACTTTAAGTTAGTAAAAATATGACACTGGTTATATTACCATGTTGATCATGTTGAGCATAATTGTTTATTATACAATAATTGTAATATCTATTAATTTTAATTTAAAAAAAAATACAAATTTTATGAATATTGTTTGCTTTTATTCTTTTTTGTGTTTTATGTGCTATTTTAATACTGATTTTTTACTACTCTTTTTTATTAAAATTGTAAAATAAATTTTAAGAATTCAATTGTCATATTGACCGACGATTATAAGTCAAAGCTTAACTGGGAAAAGTCAGTAAATTATGGTTTATCTTTCAATATATAATATTGTTTATTCTTAAACCATGTACATGTACATTGTATTTTTCTTTATCATTTTTTAAATTATCGATCAATTGAATAATTCATAAAATCTAATTTGTAACTTTGAATAATTCCTCGGCATCTTTACTAAACACGGATAACAAATTGAATAATTAAATAAAATGTTTCAAAGTTGATAATGTCATTTTAATACCATAAAAAAGTACCTTTTTCTCAATTATTGTACATATCACGGATTTATATTTCATATAAATCCGTGTACATATTTATTGTTTTTATCTCATATAGATAAAATGAAACATGCTATTGTTGTTTTTTTCTAATTGTAACGATATCAAACATCTACTCCAAAACCGGGAGAGACCGGACAATAAACTGTGGTACTATTCGCCGGTCACTAGTAAATCCTGGTCAATATAGACCGGGAGAGACCGGCATGTACCATCTTATTTCCTACAAAACTTCTACAAATAAAAACTAAAAACACTCGAATGCAATATGCGAGAACGCTTGTATTTAGGGACAGTACACAAGATGACATAATAAACGTGCAAATACATGTATAGCATAAAGCAATAAATATTGTAATTGGTTAATAAATTTTATCTCTGTCATATAAATGTTTTGCAAATCGTGGTCGACTCGTCCAGGAAAAACCAAAAACAAAAAACCCCTTTTAAAGTTTTTGAATTGATTTCAGTGTTATTTAAGGGAAAATATTTTTGGAAACCTGTGCCCATTTACCATCACAGGAAAGTGACTGTCAAATACCACCGAATGTTGGGCCTCATCCTTGCAAAACATTTAACATTTATACAAAACGATGTAAAATGTCTACACTATGTTTCCGTTAAAAATTAAACAATACATTTTATTTAGGCAAAGCTTGTACGCTTTTAAAAAAAATTGCACTTTTCACAAAATAATTTTGGCATTGAATTTGAATGTGTGAGTGTCCCTAAGAGTTGCTCGCTAGAAACTGATTTCCGAATATGAAAACCCCGATTAAATACAGCTCGAATCATTCGAGCGAACAAAGAATGTACATAAACCGGTTTTGTATTAAAAACGCTAGTACAAAGGTACTCATCTATACGTTGTAACGATGAGTACCAAATAGTACCATCTTATTTCCTACAAAACTTCTACAAATAAAAACTAAAAACACTCGAATGCAATATGCGAGAACGCTTGTATAGAACTACAAAGTATAGTAGTGACAAAAAATAATTCAAATTCAATGCCAAATATTCGGACTAACAAACAATAAATGATCAAATATTACAGATTTAAAGCCTGAGTTACAAACATACGTTTCTCTAAAGAATCCTTTATATAACCATCTTTGGCTGAATCGGTTTTCCACCGGCCGTGCCTTTTCAGACAACGTTCAGACACACCGGATGCATTAGCAACAGTGCTGGCCCCACTGGCTCTTAAAGAATGTGTACCTAAATTACTATTAGGTGCAATTAATCTCAATTTGGACTTAATACATTCTCTTGTTCTAGTATAACTTAATTTCTTATTCTTATTAATTAGAGATGGTCTGTTTTTTGACCTGAATGCTGGTTTGAATAAAAAATCATCCGATGACAGAGATAAATTTGCTTTTGAAACATATCTTTTTAACATATCTATAGGACAAGCAGACGACGTTCCCTTAGAAATTACAATTTCTGAACCGTCACGATAAATATCAGTTTTACTTTGAGTAACCTTAACTATTAAGTGATCAGGATTGAACACAATATCCTTGCAACGCAAGTTACACACCTCACCTATTCTCATAAAACCAGAATATGCTAATAATATCATAGATAAGTCTCTAAGATCAATCACATCACATGAGTCTTCATATTTGGAACATAATGTCTGTAACATATCTGAAGATATAACGTCTTTTTTCTCTACAGGTTTTGAATGAATACGATTTGCCGTGTTTAATAGTAACTTCACAGTATTATTTTCGGTTGGATCGTCCATATCGTTCATATTGTGAGCCCATTTGATACCGTAGTTTGCGCTAGAAATGACATGGTTAGATTTTCCTTCATCCAATAAATGTGTAAAGTACATGGCGACCGTAATTGAAAGAGCTGGCAATGCAGATACATGCTTTTGTTCACAAAAGTTTTTGAAATGCGCAAAACTTGATTTGTATTTTGTCACTGTATTGTCAGATTTTTGATTGGACCAAATACTCAGCCATATGATCTGCTATTACGTCATCCTGTATACAGGCAACATCCATCTTTCGTTTCAGATTGTCTTTTAGGTTAATACCTGTTAACGATAAAGTATTGTTAAAACAATGTCATACAAATATAATAAACTGAACATGAAATTAAGGTATACACTTCAAAGCCAACATATCAAAAGCCAATGGATTTTTTGAAAAACAACCGTTTTTGCCTTTTCCTGGCCAAATAACATCTTTTCTACCAAGATTGATTATGCCTTTAATAAACTTTCTATGTTTTCCCGAGTAATCAAATAAACAAGGCCAAAAAGGTGCACTTTTCCAAAAAGGAAGGACTAGTGTGCAGTTCGCACCCTCACACATAATTTTGTGTATACATTTTACAACCAGCCTAGGGGGCGGAACTAGCCAGTTTACGTGATGTTGCCAAGATTCTGACAAAGCGTCAACACCATCGGTACCCGGCACCCACCAACGTGAATTAAACTTAATGCATTTATTATTTAAATGTGATGCAAATCTATCTATAGAATATGGTCCCCATATATGATTTAAATATTGAAAGACATACGAGGAAACACTCCAATCATCACAGTCATAACATCTGCTTAGAAAATCTGCTCTTTCATTATCTTCCCTCGGAATCCATTCAGGGCAAATTACTATATTTTCTTTTTCACACAATGTGTTTAATTCTACAACACTGCTATGTATATTTTGCGTTTTACTACCGTTTACTAAAACGGACTTTACATTTTTGTTGTCTGAGAAAACCTTAACATAAGCGTTTTTCAAAATATTTGAATGCGAATGAATAACTCTGTTAACTGCTTCTGTTTCACGCCAAGTCGAACTTAATGACTGTTCATATTCAGACCATTGGCCTACAACCTCTGAACACGAGTCCACTTCCGGGGACCGATTAACATTTTTACCAGATATGCCCTCATTTTGGGACATTATCGGACTTGTTTTGTCTACAGCCTGAAATTTTCTCATACTTATCTTGTTTGCTTTATCCACTTCCGGGGTACATTTTGCAACACACTTACTTGCCTGGTCCACTTCCGGGGACCATCTGATAACTAAATTACTAGCAGTGTCCACTTCCGGGGACCATTTTTTCGTAATGCTATTTTCTATGTCCACTTCCTGGGACCATTTTGTAACTATGTTATTTGCTGTGTCCATCTCCGGGGACCGACTTATAACTATGCTACTTGCTGTGTCCACTTCCGGGGACAAATCTAAAAAATTCACATCCGGGAACAAATCTACTTTACCCATACTGTCTACTTCCGGAAACGATTGCGACCTTTCTGTTAATAACTCACCCTGTGCATCATGTGAAAAATACTGACTTAAACATTCACAATGTATCATACTGCTTGATAGCTTTTCTGAAAAATTTGAAAAAACTTCTGCTTTCTCTATGTAACCTCCATAGCCTACATCGCTGGCGTCTATAAATACATTATACAAACACACATGATCGTGTTTCAAATTTTTACCTTTTTGGTTCAATAAACGAACGTTTTCTTTCCAAAATATTAGCTCTTCCAAAGCTTGAACGGAAACTAAAATGCAAGCATTCCAGCTTGCCCTTGAATTAATACATTTAAACATTTCCCTGGTCATTAAGCGTACTTTATTTCCTATAACGCTTTGTAATGAAATAATGTGCCCTACAACACCGGCTAAATGCTTCACAGGAAGTAATCTTTCTTCGCAGCACTTAACTTGATAAATGCAAGAATCAAGAACAGATTCAAACCTCTGAATTCGTTCTTCAGAAATAAATAACAAATTATTTTCCATATCTAAAATATGGCCTAACCACGTGACACATCGAGAAGGTAACCAGTTGCATTTTTCGTCTGCAAGTAAGAAACCGAACTCTAAAATAGTTTGTTTTGTGTACTCACTAGATTTTAACGCAAGTTCATAATTTTGATCGCCACCGATTCCGTCATCTAAAAACATGATAATTCTATGACTTTGTGAACGTAAATAAGCAACTACTACCTTTAATACTTTTGTAAAAATGTGACCTGCTGTTTTGATGCCAAATGGTAAAGAATTAAAAACAAAGTATTTGACTTGACCTTTTTTCGAATATGAAAAACCTAAGTAAGTCCTGTGCTCAGCAAAAATATCAATGTGATGGTATGCCCCTTTTAAATCAAAAGTAAACAAAAAAAGAATTTTGTTCAAATAAAGCCTCTGCCACTTTAATATCTTCAAATTTTATTTTAAATTGATGCAAACACGGATTTATGTGTCTACAATCTAACACTAACCTTGGTTTTCCTTTTCTGTTGTATGCTACAGTGAGAGGATTTACTACATGTGGAATTACTTCACTTCTAGAAATAATGCCTTTAGACAACAAATTCTCAATTTCTTTTTCTACAAACTGTAAATTTTCTCTTGCCGATTTGTTATTTCTTAACACGGCTCTTTCTGGAATGTCTTTAAGCGGCAATCTATAACCCTTGTTAATGACATCCGAAATATACTTACTGTCCGTAGCTTCTGACCATTTCGAAGCATGACGTCTCAAACGCCCTACAGGGGATAAAACGTCATGAATATTGTTCTCTTTTACCATCTGAGAATTATTATTCTCAGAGATATCTATGCCTTCTTTAAAGACAACCGATACAGTTTCTTTAGCATTTTTATCTGCAATTAATACACTAGTATCACAAAAAATACTTATCTTATTGTTATTAAAGGCGGAACTGACAGGACATTCCTGTGACCCCTTCCAGTGTCCCGGCTTGCCACAAGCAAAACATAAACCAGGTGGACGACGGGAAGTTGACTGTGAAACCGGAACTGTTTGGTTCATGACAGCAACAGGCGGTTTCCTCTTATATGGATGCCGTGCTGAACGTGCTTTCTTCGCCCTTTCCTCTCGCATTTTCTTGTTGGCCCGTGCTTCGGCTTTCAAGATTTTCTTCTCTCGTCATCAGACCCATCAGCCAATGGGTTAGCCTCGTATTCGTTAACTAAACGCCAACCCATGTCCGACCCGTCTGCCAATTGAATCAGTTTTTGTCTGTGTGCTACCAGCTCTTTTACTAAAAATAAACCAAAACATGTGAATTTCGACTTCGAAAAAATATGCATACATTCGCTTTGTACGTTATCAAAAAGAATAACTTAATTAACTAAATATTTCAAAAATCCTTTTCATAAATACTGTAAAAGGAATAAACTATACAAATTTGAATATACAAAATAATATAGATAGGTTAAAATATACCTCATTTGTGTAATGAAACTTGAAAAAAATGATTACTTTATCATTTTCTTTTGCAGTAAATAACTTGAATAACAAACAAATCTAGTTATAAATATCATACCGACATACCGATATATTCTTCAATACACGCATCCATTTTTTTTTTTTTTTTTTTTTTTTACTACAAATAATATTACATCGTCGTGATTCATGCAAAATATTAGTTACACTGTGATAAAATTACCGTTATATTTTACATCAAGCGTTACCTATAGAACATTCTTACTGATAACAGTGAATTATTAATCCTGTGTTATACAAACAAATTTGTAATTCAATGTCTAATAAATGTAATAATATTTACCTTCTGCAATCTTTTCCCTGCTTTCGATAATTTTATCGTTTTGCAACATTTTGTCTGCAGAATCTAAAGCAGCAGTTATCTTACAATTATATTTGTACTGCTCTTCGTTTGACTTTCTTTTAGATTTAGGAATGCCAGTTAAAATGGTAGAAATCTGATTTAAATGTTCAAAAGTAGAATTTCCACTTATCTTATCCAAAAGTTTCTCCATATCAGAAAGCATCGACTGCTTAAGATCTCCCAAGGTATCTTTCAGTCTGTCATCTACTAACCGCTGTACTTCGTAAGAATCCATGTGTGAGTGTCCCTAAGAGTTGCTCGCTAGAAACTGATTTCCGAATATGAAAACCCCGATTAAATACAGCTCGAATCATTCGAGCGAACAAAGAATGTACATAAACCGGTTTTGTATTAAAAACGCTAGTACAAAGGTACTCATCTATACGTTGTAACGATGAGTACCAAATATTACCGATAGGAGTGATAAAAAGATATATCTATAAATTGGTTTTTGGAATTTTTAGGTCATCAACTGATCATTCTAGGATACATGTACAACAATAACATACCATGACATGATAACCGACTGTGTACTACAAAATGGTAAATAAAAAACCCCGAAGAGCGCGATTTATTGGCGGAAAAGGTTATTTCATTTGTAAATGTTTGCATTGCGAAAATTCATTGTAACATATTCGCCCCCCCTTTTTTTCGGA